GAAGTAGTTTGCGTTTTAACTCATGAGACAAAAAGAGACTGTTCACCTGATACTCCTTATCTCTTGTATATAAAAGCCAAGAGGTGTGCATTTTTTGCTGGCTGTTCCACAGAGCGTTTTGTTGCATCGTTCCACTCTCAAAGCTGTAGAACACAGGAATTAAAGCTACGCAGTTACCAAAGGGAATTTTGCTGTGTTCAGATGAGGGTTTTTGCGCCAGAAGGGCCTGCCAGCATTTTTGGGGAATGGGGGCAAAAAACATCTGAGGCCCAGCACCAGACTTGGAGAAGGGAAGGCTGTGGTACAGTAAACGTCTTGGGAACCGACCTCAGCACCCTGAGCTCAGGCCCAGCCCCACCCTGGGGGATCCGAGATGTCAAGGCTGCGTTGAGACTTCTGCCCTGGGTGACAGAGGGTTTGATTTTTGGGAACAGGACACTGAAAACTGCACCGTTCACAACTTGTCCAATAGTGTGCTTTCCATTCCTTTCTCTTTCTGGTCTCACGGCAAGACCTCCTTCCTGGTCTCCCTGTTTCCACTTTGACCCCGTACCAGCCATCCTCTGCTCTGCCATCAAAAAGGAACAACCAAAATGTAGATCTTGTCTCTCTCCAGCTTAGAAATGTAGTGGTTTCCTGCAGACTACAAGATCATATCCATCTTTCTTACTATGACCTGAGGCCCCTAGAAGAGGGCTGTGCCCACTTGCTCTCCCCCCTCTTATCCCCACGCTCACACAGGACTCTGCTCCAGTCACACTGGACTCAGTATGCCCTCACGCACAACACGCTCTTCCACATTTCTGTACCTTTGCCCTTTCTGTTCCCCCTGCTTGCAGTGCCCTTCCCTCACTCAGCTGTCTAGTGAACTCTTGCGTGTCCTTACAACACGCAATCTCTCTAGCCTCTCCTCCCCAATGCCCACAGAGTGAGTAGTCCCTCTCTTGAGCGCTCTTAATTATAGTACCTTGAGTCAATGGTATGTGGTTGGGAGTGGCAGATGTTGGGAATAATTGTTTAGAATTACTGGAGCATGATGACAGAAAAAAGCAGGCCAACTTTCAGTTGCTTTTATTCATGTTTTTAAAACTTCTTCAAACAATGCCCTTGTCATCTGCACTCAGGGCAGACTGCTCCCACTGCCTGCCCCCTTGGTATGCCAGTGCCAAGAAAGTATTTCTTTACATTCTGACTCCATCATAAGACCATGAACTCCTCAAAGCAGTAACTGTGTCTTTTTCATTTGAGTGTCATCAATACCCAGCGTGATGCCTGACATATAGCAGGTACTACTTCTAAGCTCATCCTGCAATCCTCAAAGGAGTCCTACCTGCTCAGAGAAAAGTCTGTGAGGCCCTATCTGACACAGCCCCATCTACTTCCAGAACTCCTCTCCTACTCTCTTTCATTTACTCTTCTCTGACCACATTGGGCTAGTTACTCCTTGAATAGGCCAGGCATGCTTCTACCACAAGGCCTTTGCACTGGATCTCCTATCTGCCCGGACCCAGACACCCACATGATCTACTCATTCTACTCTTTTACATTTTTTCTTGTTTTCTCGTTTCAGTGAGATCTTTCCTAAATACCTTATTTAAAAGTGCAAATCTTCATCCCTGCCCAGCACTCTCTACCCTCCCTCTGTTTTATTTTTCTCCACAGCCTGTATTACCGTTGAACATACTATTTATTTTACCTATCCATTATCTGTCTTTCCCCAACAGAATGTCCACTCCATAAGCACAGTCTGAAACTGTGCCCTCGTGATCCCCGGTGTATAGGTTCTGCCTTTGCCTGAGGACTGAGATCTGGTGGGCTGCTTCTACTGCGGGCCAGACCTGTGGCTAGAGTGAAAGGATAATGAATTAGATTAAGCCCAAAGCCTTAGCATACTTCTTCTGAAACCACAGAGGAATTCGCTCCCTCTGCGTGACCTCTGTCATACCCCTTTTATGGGTGGGTGATGAAAACACGCTGAAATGCAAAGGGCACTTAGCCTGGGAGGCTGACAAGATGCAGTGCACATGTGCTTTCCATAATGAGCTATACAGCTTGCACCCAGAGCCAAGTGCAGTGTACCTGTGAACCCCTTCCAAGAGCAAAACAGCACAACTCTCAGGAGAGTTGAGTACGTGACACCCATGAAGGGAAAGCCAGGGATGTTTGGGAACTGAGCCTGGGATCTGGAATCCAGCTTTTTCTCTAATGGCTTTTGCTCCTGTCACTCTCTCTCCCATAGGAGCACGTGCCCACCTGGCTTCAGAACACTCATGTCTACAGCTGGCCCAAGAATAAGAAAAATATCCTGCTACGGCTGCTCAGGGAGGAGGAGTATGTGGCTCCTCCCCGGGGGCCTCTGCCCACCCTTCAAGTGGTCCCCCTGTGACTCCCTCCATCCCCAGGTCCTCGGGGCCAGGCCACATGTGGGCCCTATTCTGTCCAGCACTCTTCCGGTTGAGGCTGGCTGCCAGCATTCAGGGCTGTTGTTTTCAGTCCCTCTCTGAGGGGCCCTCGAACCCCAGAAAACCTGTTCTGCAGGGGAACTCTTCCTCCTGAGACCTCAAGAGACCTTGTCTTTGAAACAGAGGCCACGGCTACTTTGCATTCCCTGCTTTTTAAACCCATCGCATGTTCCTCCTGACGGTCTGCCACGTCCAGAACGGGTTCTCAGCAGTTAGCAAGTAGATAGTACAAGTGACGTTGCAATAAATGTAAATGGCCACCAACACTCTCCCATCACTTAGGGCTTCTTTTCAGGGTTAGCCAGATGTTGTGTGTCCTCGGGCCAAACTGATCCATGTACAAATAATAAAATGTTTACTCTTTTGTAAAATTGTGGTTCACTTATCTCAAAGGAGATGGATATATATTAATTTATATGGGCAGCTGCTTCCAGAGACATCAATAGAGCTGCTTAAATATAATACTAGACAAATGTAACAGACCACTTTGTATTAAAGGAGTAAGACCAGATAATTAAACAGTGCCTTTTAACATGCTCTTGGAAGTTTTATTCCCACAGAACTTTTTAACAAAACAACTCTGTACCACACACAACCGTGATTCTAAATAAAATCCTAGTTCTTAGGATCTGAACTGTATGTGTCAAAATTTCTGGGTATTGTATGAAGTGACATGAGCTGTATAATGCAGGCTAGGAATGTGGTCTGGGAGACCTGTGTTCTAGTCTTGGGTATGCCACTAACTAGCTGTGTGACCTTAAGCAAGTCCTTTCACTTTCCTGAAACTCCAGGGACTCATTCATATAATCACATGGACAAAAATATCTCTAATGACCCTAAAAGGTTTAAGGCCTAAAGCCTAAATTCTAAATATTCTTTTGAGGAATGACTAAGTTTTCATTTTCATAATAATTTCCTAGGGGATAGAAGCATATTTCCTTAACAGGGACATTTTCTTCTTTTTTTAAATATCTTTAACAATATCCTCACATTAATAATTTTGGGGGAAAATATGTATCTTGTTCATCTGATCCCCAAAGAAAAAAACACACACAAACATACCCATATATAAAATACATTCTACATGTGTGTGAATATCTATAATATATATATATTCTACTACATAGAACAAGGTGAAATGGCTTCAATTATGGCCCAAGATGATAAGCCAATATGAAGTCTTTGGAGGGTGGGTGAGAGCTATTGCTTCCCTTTATTTGTCTATCTAACCTCTTAAACAAGGCTCAGTTGTGTTACAATATAGTTCAACCCTTATGTGTCACCATAGGGAAGACAAATACTTGTCAATGTTAAATAAGAAACTTTGCTAATGAATTGCAAAGAATCCTAGTTTTATTTATGCTGTAACCTAAATGTCTACTGGGCACAGTGAATGTCTCTGTTTCAAAAAACTAGAGAAAAAAGAAAAGCTAGTACACCTGAAATACTCATTTGTAAGACTCTATGACAGGTACTTTTAGACCCGTAGCATTTGAGACCTGGTAAAACTGACATGCTTATTGGATTAACTCAAAATGCCTGGAACACACCCCAAACACAAACATCAAATCTTCTTTCTCTCTTGCTTTTTATTATCGTTTTTGGAGGTGATACCGTCATACAGGATTCTACACACAGATCTAAATAAAATGGCATCAGCAATGATTACTCTCAAATGTTTCTAGTTTGTGGAGGTTTAATCATGTGATGTTATTACCCTTCCTCCCTTCAGAGATTTGTCCTGGGTCCTCAGCCACTATTCCTCCCCCAGGTGAATGATGAGAGAAGCTCCCCAGTGTTCCACAAATAGTTATCAAAGTGTTACAGCTGGTAATACTGGTAGAAAGAAAAAAAAACTAAACACAACAGAAAGCATGCATGCACACACACGAAACACCTGGCCAAGTGATAGATGACCCTTAGAGTTTCTGTGAAATCTGATGACCACGAACATAAAAGGATTTTAACAACTATTTTAGAGCACAGACACTAAGATTAACCCTTGATTTATTTAGACATTATCCTGGGTCCTCTTGCATTCATCATACAGATATTTATCTGTAGATATTTATCAAGTGGTGGGGTGGAAGTGGGGTAGGGCTGGTTCAGCGAAAATAACCTCTTAGCCTCAAGGCTTTATTCAGGCCTAGACGGATTTTAGGGGTGAGGTGTGCAGAATGCAAGGTTAGATTCTTGACTAATATTTAGTGACTAAGTTAAATTTTAAAATGTAATTTTTAATTTCAGTGACTGGTTTCAAAATATCTGCCTGTTTAACTTCTAGTTGTTCAAAGATATCTCAGTTCATGACTATAATCAAAGTATTATACTAGCTATTTCTCAGCTCAGTGCTTTGAAAAATTGTTGATACCCTTTTTCCTTTCTTCCTGTTAAATAAATCACCTATTTAAAGATAGTTTTTCTCAGTCATGTCAGCAAAGGAGGCCAGCTCTCCATCTTGAACATTCCAGACCTTGTTTCATGATGTTTTGCCAACAGCACTCTTCTTAACCTCAGTCATTTCATCAGCCACCTCATCCACTTTGCCAAACGCCCTATTGTCACCATCACCTTTGCCAAGTGAATTGCAAAGTCCTATGATCACTGGGAAATGATCCAGAACGAGTCTCTCAAAACACAGGATCTTTCTGTTTCCTCTTAATGAACCAAGAAAAATCAGTGAGAGCCACCTCCTCGTGGCAAATGAAAAGAGAAGGAAGGTTAGACTGTGGGAAAATACCACAAAGAAGAAATGCCTCACCTTCTGAAGAATTATGCACTATTTTTCAAGATAAGTAGTTTTGTAAGAGCCCACCAGGCAAATAAACAATGATAAAAATGAGAAAGGATGAAAGAAATCACCAAAATAAATTTAATTCTCGTATCATTTGTTTCTGCCATGAAGTCTTGAGTCTGGCAAGGACCTTAGGAATCACACACCTCTGCAGTTTTATTTCATGCTTGAGAAAAGTGGGGTGCAGAGAAACTATGGCTCATCTAAGCTCACCCCTGGGCTAGAACTCAGGTAACCTGGCTTCCAGTGTGCAGACATCTATTCTGGGAACCTAGAAAGCTTTCTGGATTTTGATGGTAGATTTATTCAACAAATGACCCAGTGTCTCCCCAGAGGTAAACTGAGCCTCATGAACAGAGGAGGCCTGAGGGAAGATGCACCTCTGTCCTCTGGTGGCTGGAGGATTAAATGATCATGTTGCAACTTGTTTTGTGGGAAATTCTTTGGGGGATTAATTATTGCTATGATTATATGGAGTGTGACTTTTCTTGAAGTAGTTTGGCGTATTTATTTTATACTGGTATTATCTGAAACCAAGGCACAATTGGAAAGATCTTGACACCTTCCAGGAGCTTACAGACAAAACCCACTATTAGATCAATTTCTTTAGTTTTATCTGGCCAATCTCCAAAACAACAATGACAAGTTTTTTTTATTTTTAATTCTGTGATATTCATCTTTCCCTCACTCTTCTGATTCTACAAGCGTGGCACTTGTTGGAGTCATACACAGCTGTTTGGAACACCTGTGTTACCTTTCAGATGAAGAAATGAGAAATGTATGGATCTTTTAACTCTCCTTTGGGTGGGGGTTGGGGGAGGCTGCAGGAAGGGAAGCACATCAACAACACAAATGAGCCCCACTCATTCAGTACAGCTGGCGTTGACGCCTGGTACCCAGGCAGGACAGCGTGTTCCTAAACTTCATACTAATTTGCTCTATTGGAAAAGGCTTTCAGATAGAGCCACGGGATACTGGTGGGAGGTGGGAGGCTTTCGCAGACCCTGGGCAGTCACGTGCTGCCAACTCACCCACGTCTGCCACAGCCCCTCCATCTGTGACCGTGCATTTGCTCCCAAATCCTTAGCTTCAAGCCAAGCAGGTGGGACATGTAAGGGGGAACGCAGTGTAGTTTAGTTCTCTATTTAACTTCCCAAGGAGCGTCTGAGTCTGGGACTAGATCACACTTGCTGGGGTGTCTAGGAAGTGATATTTGAGCCTTTGGTAAACAATGAAAGTCTTGGAGCAAAGCATACCTGGGCAAAGATGACCATGTTGTGGACCTACTTGTTCTTTTCCAGAAACACTTGTACGGAAGGAGTAATTGCAGCCCCCAGATCTCCCAGGACTTGTAAACTAAAGCCAGGAGGGCACACACTTCTTGTCCCTTGCCTGACCTCCCTTTGCTCCCTTCACTAGGAAGGGGCTGATGGTAGACGATGGGGCGGGGGGGAGGGGAAGGGGAGAGCCGGGGAGGGTGAGAGAGAGAACTCATGCCTGACGGATCCCATTAGGCTTAGCGTGCAAAGCAAGTTGAGATGAAGTAGCTGCTCTGGTATGCGTCCAAAACTGCTATTCTATTTTTAGTCTCTCCCGCGTGCTTCTTAGCCCCGCATTGTGCGCCTGGGCACCTGGATCAGCAGCAAAACATGGAACTGAGCCACTCATTTGTAAAACTGGAAGGAAGGAGGCCATTGATGTGGGGCTTGTTTATCGCTGACAGGGAAGGGGGACCTGGAATGTTAATGAGGACGGCTCTCTGAAGCATGCCTTCATGGTTAGCTGGGAGTTCAAAGGAGGAGGCAGACTCAGTCCAGTGCCCAACAAATGTGAACCGTTGATAGAGGGAAGGAGAAATCAATTATGCTGTCGCAGGCCTCCATGTCATTGTGTTGGAGTTGTTAGAAAAGGTAGGACAAGGACCAGATCTCAAAAGGAAACAAAGCCACATGGCCTTGAAGTATAACGAGTTTGCCATGGCAACCGATGGAAATGAGCCTCCGGGGCCCTGAGCAGGTGTGTTATCTTACAGAATAAACAGCCTTCTCTCACTCCCAGGTTTTTATAATAAAACCTGTGTTTGGATTACTTTCTCCTCCTCTTTGTTATTGGGAGAATTTGGCTGTTGCTCAATCAGCCCACGGCTGTAGTGAGGGAAATGTAATCAGTGTTATCAAAAGGGCTGCTTTTGAAAGGCTGGCATTCGGCTTGGCTGCCAGCCTCATCGCAGAGCAGCAGCTGGGCCGCAGGTAACTGTCTGGCCTCTGCCACCTTCCAAGCAATGCCCTGTGCAGAAATCTGCCCGTTCACGCATTTGTCGAGGCGTGATGGTGAGGCCTGGCTCTCACGCTGGTGGTGGTCACAAGCTGTACTCTTCCAAGGAAGAGAAATGTGTTTAGGTGAGGCAGGGATCTGACCAATTTGGGGGCATCCTGTGTTATCTGGGATACGAGCCAAGGGTTCCTTGATTCTATCTTCCAAACTGTTGTTAGACACAAAGTTCAGCTATGCAGAAACTGCTGATTCCTGGAGCTCTGAATCCCTCTCAGATGGGTTCAGGTGGGGCAGATTCTCATGTCCCAGAGGTACACAAAATGGGGAGATTTTCTAAAAATTCTCGGTCAGAAAGAAAAGTTTCCTTTTTATTGTTCCAAGGCCCCAAATAATGAAGTAGGCTAGACCTGGGTTCATTGCTTTCAATTTGTGACTAAAAGAAAACTTCCACTCTAGCTTCAAATTGATTTTCAAAACAAGATGCTCATTCATAACGGGCTCCTAGTGCATAGTCTAAACTAGGCTTGGGCAAAACAGCCGCCCTGAGGAGAGCTTGGGCAGCCCGG